CATAATTTCTATTTGTATATAGATTTTATTTTTCAATTTGATTTAATATTTGTATATAGTTAAGAATTCGTCCTCGGCCTTATCAATATGTTTTACGTAATTATAATTCGTCTTCAGCCATTTCTATAGTTTTAAGAATTTTAGAAATTCATCTTCTATCAATCATATATGTTTTACAAAATATATAATAGATTAGCATATCTTTGTTCCTTTTTTTTTGGTCTTCTCTATCTATCAACTGTTTGGAAGTGGATTGGATCAAAAGAGTTGGAGAATACACATTATGGTCCAAACAAATGGAAAGAAATTATTGAGGTAACTCAAAGATTGGAAGATCGTATATGAAGCTCAACTTTGGATATCAAATTGGCAATTGACTTATCTATTATATTAAAACAGAAGCATATTTAGTACTTGCTTCCAAACACTCTTAATTTTTTTTAAGTGTTTAAAAATAATTTTAATAATTATTTATATTTAATTTCGAAAATTAGTTATTAATTTAAATATTTTTAGAGTTCCTTAAATATAGGTAATTTAGATTTGATTTGATTTGATTTGATTAAAAATAATAAATCAGATATTAATTTAGATTTGATTTAAAGATTCTAATTTAAATAATTTCTATACTATTAAACATTTTTATCAAAAATATGTAGAATTTTTGAAAAAAAATAATTCACATATGAAAAATAATGGCCATATTTGAAATATAAAATATTTATAATGATGTAAATGATATGATATTTATAATATATTTACGATTATGATTTATTTACAAATTAATAATAAAATAATAGATAAAATTCAAATGTATAATTTAAATATTAAAAATATATTTTTTAAAATTTATAGAACTAAAAATATATATAAAAACGGGGTTAAAAATATTTTGGTAACTAAAATCACTAATTTTGAATTATACATGTATATCAAAAATATATCTATTATATTAAAACAGAAGCACATTTAGTATTTGCTTCCAAACACTCCTAATTTTTTTTAAGTGTTTAAAAATAATTTTAATAATTATTTATATTTAATTTCGAAAATTAGTTATTAATTTAAATATTTTTAGAGTTCCTTAAATATAGGTAATTTAGATTTGATTTGATTTGATTAAAAATAATAAATCAGATATTAATTTAGATTTGATTTAAAGATTCTAATTTAAATAATTTCTATACTATTAAACATTTTTATCAAAAATATGTAGAATTTTTGAAAAAAAAATAATTCACATATGAAAAATAATGGTCATATTTGAAATATAAAATATTTATAATGATGTAAATGATATGATATTTATGTTGCTTATATAATATATTTACGATTATGATTTATTTACAAATTAATAATAAAATAATAGATAAAATTCAAATGTATAATTTAAATATTAAAAATATATTATTTATAATTCATAGAACTAAAAATATTTTGGTAACTAAAATCACTAATTTTGAATTATACATGTATATCGAAAATATATTTTTCATACAAAATAAAAACATAAAATATTAAAAATTATTGCATACACTAAAATGTGGTTTGAAAAACCAGTTGTACACTCCTTTCGTTGATTAAATTTTAGAAAACTATAATGCTAAATAATATTATTAATACATCTCAAACTTTTAACAAATATTTATATTATACTGTAATATGAAAGGAAAAGTTAGAATTATGTTTTTATAATAATTTATTTTGAATTAATATTAGCGGATGGGTTAAAATTATATTTTTATAATCATAATTAATTTTAATACTATAAAAATATATTTAAACACAATAATCAATATTTTCACTTATTAAAAAATATATTTATAAAAATAATTATATCTAAACTCAAAAACATAAATTATATTACAAAATTCGTTAAACAATAAAAAATATTCCCGTGCAGATGCACATGGTTAGAATCTAGTTTTCACATTAAATTGTGGTTCAAATCTAATGAGTTGCTGTGCATTAAAGAAAAAATTACGAAAAATTATTTATGATCACCAAAAAAAAATTGAAGGATACTTTAACGTTATTTATTTATTAAAGAAAAGAACAACTGTCCAGGTACATTTAAATTTTAAACTAATCGCATTTTGGTCTATAAAAGCATACTCACTTCTTCTTCCACTCCAAAAAAATTGAATTGGCAAAGTAATCAACACTCTGATCTCCATTAAAGAAGCTTGAAGCAGCTCTTCAAATTCCTTCGTTGTTTTATTTCGATTCTATTTCAATGGCTTCAATGTTTACCGTCTTCCCCAAAACAACCCATTTCCTATCTCAACCTCTCGCCAAATCCCACAAATCCGATTTCGCGACCGCGTCGGTTTCATTCCCCTCGAGCTCGAGAGGTAGTAGCACCCTAAAATCCCTCCGGGCACGAGCTGGGCTAATCGAGCCCGACGGCGGAAAACTGGTGGAGCTCGTCGTGCCGGAGCCGCGACGGCGGGAGAAGAAGCACGAGGCGGCGGATTTGCCGAGAGTTAAACTGACGGCGATCGATTTACAGTGGATGCACGTGTTGAGCGAAGGCTGGGCAAGTCCTCTCCGTGGATTTATGAGGGAATCTGAGTTTCTCCAAACCCTTCATTTCAATTTGATTCGTCTCGATGACGGATCCGTTGTCAACATGTCTGTGCCTATCGTTCTCGCCATCGACGATGAGCAGAAAGCCCTCATAGCCGAGTCGAAACGAGTCGCGCTCGTTGATTCCGATGATAATCCCATCGCCATCCTCAGCGAGTATGTTTCTGTTTCCTGATTCATTGATCTTATTAGGTTTGAAAGTTCCATAGGATCGAAGAATCAAGCTTAGGTTTTGTAGCTTCGTTGTTTCCTGAGAGATTTTGAGCATTTTGGGAATCAATATTTGCATATATAGATCACAGAATAGTTTCTTTGTGGTTTGCTTTTAACGTATCTGTGACTGATTTTGTCTCTGTTTCCTCAGCATTGGGATTTAGAAACATCCCAAAGATTCTGTTTCATGCTTCATTGATCTCATTAGGTTTGAAAGTTCCATAGGATCGAAGAATCAAGCTTAGGTTTTGTAGTTTCGTTGTTGCTTGAGAGATTTTGAGCATTTTGGGAATCAAACTTTGCATATAAACATCACTGAATAGTTTCTTTAGGTTTTAACATATCTGTGACTGTTCTTGTTTCTGAATCCTCATCCCAAAGACTCTGTTTCATGCTTCATTGATCTCATTATGTCTTCAAATCAATTGAATGGCTTGAAACTGAAAGTTCCAATAGGATCGGAGAATCAAGCTTAGATTTTGTGGTTCCGTTGTTGCTTGAGACATTTTGGGCATTTTGGGAATGCAAATAAAGATCACTGAATAGTTTCTTTATTGTTTGCTTTGCTTTTAGCATATCTGTGACTGTTCTGGTTCTGTTTCTGTTTCCTCAGCATTGAGATTTACAAGCATCCCAAAGAAGAACGGATAGCTAGAACTTGGGGCACGACCGCACCGGGCTTGCCATATGTAGAAGAGGCGATAAAGAATTCCGGGAACTGGCTCATTGGTGGAGATCTTGAGGTTCTTGAACCTGTCAAATACAATGACGGGCTTGACCGTTTCAGGCTTTCGCCATCAGAACTCCGGAAAGAGCTGGAGAGACGCGGCGCGGACGCTGTCTTTGCGTTCCAGCTCAGGAACCCGGTTCACAACGGACACGCACTTCTCATGACGGACACTCGACGGAGACTTCTTGAGATGGGTTACAAAAACCCAATCCTTCTGCTTCACCCACTTGGAGGTTTCACAAAAGCGGACGATGTTCCTCTAAGCTGGCGAATGAAACAGCACGAGAAGGTAAAAATGCAAAGCAAAGTCTCTTTTTGCGTGTGTGTTTAACCTAAGTTCTTGCTAAAACGGCTTTTATGACCTGGAATTAGGTTCTAGAGGACGGTGTTCTTGATCCGGAGACGACTGTGGTTTCCATATTCCCATCTCCAATGCTCTATGCTGGTCCAACGGAAGTGCAATGGCACGCTAAGGCTAGGATCAATGCCGGTGCTAACTTCTACATTGTTGGTAGAGATCCAGCTGGAATGGGTCATCCCGTGGAGAAACGTGATCTGTATGATGCTGATCACGGGAAGAAAGTTCTAAGCATGGCTCCTGGACTCGAACGACTCAACATTCTTCCTTTCAGGGTATGTAAATAGTTAAAAGCCGCATACTCAACCTCCTTCAAAGATTTAAGCTTTCGAGTTCTGATGATCTCTGGTTTCAATCGGTTTAGGTTGCTGCATACGATAAGACACAAGGCAAGATGGCTTTCTTTGATCCCTCCAGGGCTCAGGATTTCTTGTTCATCTCTGGAACTAAGGTAACACAACTTGTTAGACAAATTGGTACATGATATAAGTAAGTGTTAAGAGTATTCAAGTACTGATTAAAGCTTGATTTGGTTTGTTTTTTTGTAGATGCGAGGATTAGCAAAGAACAAAGAAAGCCCTCCAGATGGATTTATGTGCCCTGGAGGCTGGAAAGTGCTTGTTGATTACTACGACAGTTTGAGTCTAACCGGAAATACTAGACTCCCCGAAAAGGTTTCGGTTTAAGACAGATTAAAACTCATCTCTTTGGATTTGTTTTACTTTTGTGTTGTAAATTAGTAACATAGTAGTTTCTTTTAGATCAACATTGTGATCATCAAACTGTGTTACTGTAAGGTTTGAAATGCTTATAATTATATGAACAAAGGTGTTGAAATTTTGAGATACATATATACCGATTAGATATTTGAAGAACTTTGAACAAATGACAAATTTTTTATTTTCCTTTCTATTATTTATCCATTTAGAATACTTTTTAGAAGATATTAATTTCCTTTTATTTTTTTCTTTCTTTGAGAAGATAATTTCTTTATTTTCCTTTTTCCTTAATCCGTAGATGTATATAACAAATTCCATTCTCATAATTCATCACAAATCAAAAGAAGAGAAAACCCTAGACACACATTTTTAGGGTTTCCTGCCGACGACTATGGAGAAGAATCAAAGTGAAAACAGAGAGAGTTCAAAAGCAAACGAGAAGATGCTTGAGGAAGAAGATACCAATCTTTTTGAGAAAACATCAACGAAGTGGAAGGAGTATGAGTCAATGGACGCCTTCAAAAGAACACCACAACGTCCTCACTTCAGCCCACTGATCAAGAAGCCTAGTATTGTGCGCGAAGATTATGCGTTAATTATAATGGAAACTTGGCTCGATATATCAGAGGCACTACATACTCCCGGGACGGACGTTTCCCTAAGCCAACTAGAGACATTGCTCCATCTAGAGACGCACGGGTTCGACGTTGACGAGCTGTTATTACTGACCATGTACAAGGGCTTAAAACAAGCCAATACAATGGAGGAACAAAAAGGAAAGTGGAAAAGAGAAGAGAACCTTACTTCTACTGCTGTTGTTGATTTAGCTAGAAAGATTGATAAAGTAAAGGATCTTATGAGAAGGAAGACAGAGGTAGCTACCAAATTGGAAAAGGTTAGAAATGATAAGAGAGATCTTGTGGCCGAGATTCTTGAGCTGGAGGAAAGACTCCGAGTTGCAGAGAAAAGAGTGGCCGAGTTGAGAGAGAAGAAGGAGGCTGTAGATAAAGAAATTGCTGATTTGCAATCTTGTTAAGAAGATCAGCTTGGAATTTCAAGTTTCAGGTTAATTTGCCAACTCCTTAGAAACAAACCTATATGATGAACTCTAAAAAGCTCTAATTTTGCAAATGAAAAGCTATGATTTGATAGAGGAGAATTATGATCTGCTCCCTCCTTGGCCCTTTTATTTATTTACTTTTATTTATGCTTAAAACTTTCAGTTATTTTTTGTCATGGAAAACTATGATTATCCTTTGCTGTTCCTTGGCTTTATTTATTTATAATTATATATGCGTACGAAGAGAAAACTTTAGACAACTTTCTCATTACCCTTAGCTTTTTCTTTCTCTCTTTCACAAACAACTCGGCAAGTCCTCAATACTCTTAGTTTTTCGGAAAATCTTCAATAGTGTATGCAAAGCACTGATGGTACTCTTGCAATCTCCGGTCTCTTTAATTTGCACCAAAGGACTAGGTTCCCAGTTTGTATGGTAGGAACTGCGACCTATCTGAAAACACATTCAGAATTGGGTCAAAGACGCAGCAGCCGGCCCAAATACAGGTTTCAGTCCATTCGCAGCATCAACTAAGTATCACATTGACGTCCAAAGCTGGCGAGCTCCAAGACAATAAAATACCACTCAGTCAAAACAACTGAATCAGTCAAAATTAGATTCTCTAAACAGCTCAGAATCATTTCAAAGATCAAATGTAAGAAGCGAAACAAGCGATCCCGAGATATGCAATGGCGGTTAAGACTTCGAACAAAGCTATAAAAAAAGACTCAAGGTTTAGTTTTACAGATCTGATTCTTTTGATTTAATTACGTTACGCTCTCTTTGTAATTTATCTCAAAGAGATAAATCTGTATTCATAATTTCATACTATCTATTAATACAAATCTAATTCATCAATACTCATTTATACAACATTTTTGGTTCAAAAATAAATCTAGTCTATCGTTTCGTTATGATTCTTTACTTAAAAATTATACATAATATTTGGGGAAAAAGGCCCGTACCTACCTCAACTCATCCAAAATGGTGCGGATTCGTGCCTGAAAAAATAAAGTGTGCAAATCCATACCCGTACTCTTAATTATTTGAAAATTCATACCCAAACTATTTAGTTTTTGGCCAATCTCAACATTGATTAGTCAACATATATGTATGCCGTTATTCGAAATCATTAAAAAATTCAAACATCTACACCATAATCAAAACCCTAAATCTTTTAATTACCACATTTTAAACAAACCCAGAAATTGATTTGTATCTTCAAACTCAAAATTGCCTTCTATTTCTGCCAAAAGATTCGATTTAATCAATTTGCATCAACACTAAACAGTAATCACTAAACCCTATTACTCTCTCTCTCACCATCGCAACAAGTTCTTTGGAAATGTCGTGATTTTTTAAAAAATTTTGTTCAAAATAATGTCGTTTTGATATTGGGTTCAATCTTAAAACAAAATTCATACAAAAGTCCATTTCTTTTCCTCTTGAAACGATGTAGTTTTATAACTCCGTAACAACGGGGCAGCAGATGTGGCACCAGACTAATCTCCGTTAACTAAATATGTATGTTGACTAATGTGATGATAGTCAATGTTGGAATCGCTCAAAAATTAAATAATTTGGGTATGGATTTTCAAAAAAATTAGGAACATGGGTATGGTTTTGCACACTTTAATTTCTTAAACACGAATCCGCACCATTTGGCTGTTTTCTCCACAAATTTTGACTTCTGGGATTTAGCATCTACATCATCGAAGATAGACATGGGCCAAGAATAGTCTCAGTATTAATAGGCCTTTATAGCCCATCAACATGTAAACATCCAGAAACGAGGTCACCTGAGTTCTCTCAGTCACAATAACGACAACGACTGTAGTCTCTCTCTCTCTCTCGCATCGTAAATTCTCCATAACCAGTCTCGCTCTCTGTTACAGATTCTCGTTTCTTTTCCTTCTTTCGGGAATCTAAATCAAAGGTATGGCTTCTTGAATCAGCTCAATTCTCAACCAATTTCTCAGACATTTTCAGCCTATTGTCTTGGACGATGGTTTTCTTCTTAAGAAAATGTGGAAAAACTATGGTTGTGGTACTTAATCGTAAAAATCCAAACTAGAAAGCTTTTTGGGTATTTTGTTTCTTCTAACATTGTTAACTCTTGATGGAAGTTTTGATGATTCTCCCTTGGATACTTCCATGCATGCTCACTGTTTGTTGAAATGCCTGAGAGAAAAGTTTACAGTGAAAAAGCTCACAGCTTGAGTTCAATGTTCCTCTTGGTAGATGTAGTATGTAATACCAGTTTCAGATTTTCTGTTTGAGAACTGTAGATTGGTGGAACTGGTACTTTTCTGGTGCATGCATAGATTTCATTGAATCCAAAAGCGATTTTGTCCAGATTCTTAAGAAAAGCCAGAAACTTTGATCTTATCTTGAGCAGAAATTACTGTTGGGAGTAATTGCATTGTGTTGATCTAGTGTTACTGATGGTGTTTGGTGAAACTTAGATGTTGCTTTCGAAGAAGAACTCTAAAACATATTGTCTACTTCCTTTGTCTTTCTCTTATATGATCACTGGTCTGTGGATTGTTTGACATTGTTTCTGATTTGGTTTTGAAGGTTGAAAGATGTTCCTCAAAGTCGAGTTACCATGGAATGTGATGATCCCTGCTGAAAACATGGATGCAAAAGGGCTGATGCTGAAGAGAGCTATACTGGTACAGTTACTAGAGGCATTTGCTTTGAAGAAAGCAACCGTGGAGCTTGGCTACTACTTGACGGTCACAACTCTGGACAAGATCGGAGAAGGCAAAATCAGGGAGCAGACCGGTGAGATAATGTTCCCGGTGGTTTTCAGCGGAGTGACTTTCAAGATCTTCAAAGGAGAGATACTTCAAGGTGTTGTGCACAAGGTTCTGAAGCACGGTGTCTTCTTGAGGTGTGGTCCGGTGGAAAACGTTTACCTCTCTTCCGCGAAGATGCTTGATTACAAGTTTGTTCCCGGAGAGAACCCGATCTTCATGAATGAGAAGATGTCTAGGATTCAGGTTGAGACTACGGTTAGGTTTGTGGTGTTGGCGACGAAGTGGATGGAGGTAGATAAGGAGTTTCAGGCGTTGGCTAGCCTTCAAGGGGACTATCTTGGACCAATCTCTGAAGAGTGATCTGCTTGTTTTCTTCAATTGATTATCTCGTTATTATTAGCCTACTATAAACTCAGTCTTTTAGTTCATGTTTGGTAAGTAATTAATGAAAAGCTTGATCTTTGAATGTAATTATATTATCCAACCTTTTAGAGGAAAGGCTGGTCTAATTTGGAATTTGAGGTACAATTCCTTTTTTTGAGTTACCAATCGATTAGTGTCACTGGTAAATCTGCAACACTTGACTTCACATAGAAAATCTACAAACTTTCAACACTTGGCTGGCTTCGTTGTGATTTCGATAGTTTTTTAAGCATTTTTAGGCAAAGGTAGATTTGCGAAATTGAAAAAGTTTGGATTTTTATATTAAAGTTAATGGCTTTATTACATTTAACGCTGAGGATTATCTTCTCCGAGCAAGTTTCCACATTTCCTTCTTGTGTAAACTGTAAAACTGAGTAGAGAAAAAGAGTGTTAAAACCCTAGCGTGTTGTTCACTGACCGTTGAAGTTCTCGTTCATTGCTTTGCTTAATCTCCGATCCCTGATTTCGTAGTTAGGGTTTCGGAGAAGTCTTCTATATTGTAAATTATACGAACGCAGAGCGAGAGAGAGAGAGAGAGAACTCAAGGAAGAGGAGTAATGTCGGTTTCTTCTGATAAAGAGCTCGAGACGAAGCTTCTGGAATCTGGAGAAAGGCTTCTCGGACCATTACCTTCCACTGTTGAGAGTCTTCTTCATCTTCTCTACGTGAGCTCCTTGTCTTCACCATTTCTCGTTCGTGTGGATTTCTAGTCTTGTTCTTACCTTCTCAAGGCTCTCTAAATTTCGCCTTGAAGAATGAAAATGGTTTCATTATTCCATTTATTGAATTTGATTAAGTACAAACTCAAATAAAGATCTGCATTTTTTTTGGTTGGCTGTAGAAACTTTTGAACCGCCTTAAAGAGGTGGAAAAGACACATACCGTCTCAATTCAGAACGCAGTCTCTCAGTTGAAGACAACTTTAATAGCTGAAAGACTGTTCAAGCATTCTAATTTCGATGTGAAAATCGCTACAGTGGCCTGCATCACCGAGGTGATGAGGATATATTCGCCGGTCGCTCCATATGATGAAGACAAGATGAGGGTACATTCTTGTTTTTCTGTAGTGTTTTATTATGCAAATGAGGACGATGCAGTGCAGCTTTGGTCACTGATAGCTTTTGTTTGATTCCCTTGAAGGAGGTATTGCAGTTAATCGTATCATCATTCGAACATCTAGACGACGTAAATAGTCTCTCCTATACCATAAGGATATGGATACTTAACACTGTGGCTAAGTGCCAAGTATGTGTTCTGATGTTGGATCCTGAGTATGTTGCTCTTCTAATTGAGATGTTCCAGCATTTATTCAAGGCTCTAAGGTAACAAGCTGCTAACTTTTCCTATCCGCTAGAATCAAAATTCAATTTGGAAGCGTGTCTTTCTGATGCTAACACTGTCTAGCTTTCATATCTGAATTGTTTTTTCATTTAAGTATCCTCTACCATGCTCAATTCATGGATGTTGACATTGTTGCTGTTACCACTTTGCGCATTAGACGAACTATATGGTGATCATTAATGTGAGAAGCAGTCATTTCAATGTGCTTGTTTTGGTCAACTATTTGGTTTTACTTTCATCGATGTGTCTTTAAGCTTCTCATTCGATTCCTGCTCTATTGTGCTACTTAGCTTTATGTGTTCGTAATAACTGGTCTATTGAGTATTGCTTTTGTTTGTTGTTTTCATCATCCATCAATACACGAATACACGTATGAGGTAATGACTGATGATGAATTTATATTTCCTTTCCAGGGATCATCATCCAATGGAAGTATTTTTAGATATAAAGAACATTATGACTCTTGTTTTACAAGAAAGCGATGGTATACCTCCAGAGTTGCTTTCAATAATCCTACGTTATGTTAAAAAGGATGATGAGGTGATACATGGATAGGTTCTTACTCTTTCTTCTTTCCAGCAACCAAATGGCTCTTTGTTTAACTCTTTCCACATCTTGTCCTTAGGTTCCCCTAATATCACGGAGGTTGGCTGAACAAGTTCTCATTAACTGTGCTAGCAAGTGCAAAACATATCTGGCTGAAGCTGTGAAATCATCGGGCGTGTCTTTAGATGAGTATGGTAATGTGGTGGCTTTCATATGTGAATGGGCATTTGGTGAATGGGCATTCAGTGATTTGAAGAAGAACGAAGTTGTTGCTCGTAAAAAAGTAATAAGTGCTCTTAATTTTTTCTCTGTGTAATTGCTTTTATTTCTCACTTATTTCTACATGCCGTTTTAAGTAGATTGTAAATTGAATTCTTATTTTCCAATCAGAAGGATAAACAAAAGGCATCAGAACTTTCTGCCACTGATCAAACTGATGCACCTAAAGATGAAATCTGCAAGTCAAGAGTCAATAATGTCGTCGTAAAAAACATATAATTGGCCTTACCGTATAGTTACAAATCTGACTTCCCTGTCCTTGTGCTGTTACAAATATCCTTTGACTGTGTTTCAGCTAGTCGGTTCCTCTGGAAAGTCAGTATCGAAGTCAAAGACAGATGTGAAGCAACCGTTAGAAGAAATGTCTAATGGAAACACAAAGAGAAAACACAGTCTAGCCAAAGAGAAAGTATGTTTTTGTACTTTCACATGTATAACAACTGTTGCTCATACAAAGGAATGTGGAAAACAGTTAACTATGCATGGTTGCAGCTTATTATCTCTGTATGCTGGAGATATTAGCTGCGTGTTGAACATCTATTCGTTCCCTTCTGTGGAGCTTATGTATCTTTTGTACTACTTTCATGTCCTCTGGTCGAGTTTCTTTATGTAAAGTTTATTCGTTCTGAATCAATTCCATGGCAGGCATCTGATCTCCAAAACTATGATAAAAAGTTAGTTGGGTCGAGGATCAAAGTCTGGTGGCCTATGGATCAAGCGTAAGCATTATTTTCTTCTTAGGAATTATATTTACAAAGCTGGACTAGCACCTTTTGCATTTCTGTTGTCCATGCTTGTAAATGAGTATTGCATTCTAACTGCAGGTATTATAAAGGCGTGGTTCATTCATATGATTCTTCTAAAAAGAAACATCTGGTAAGGCCAATTCTATCAGGCTCCTGTATTAATATCTTCGTCTCATTTGTTTGTGGTGAACCATTAGCTCATTGAATCTCCTATAGTCCTATGTGGTACATATTTCTTTTATTTGATTCAGGTCATTTTATAGTATGTTTTATTGTGGTATGCTGGTTATCAGGTTTGCTATGAGGATGGAGATCAAGAAGTATTGAATTTAAAAAAACAGAAGTGATATCTTGTGGATGAATCAGAATTGTCAGAGGTGGGGCATTTGTATAACTCATCTCTGGCTTCTCTGTTCTGTTTCTTTCTTCCCACTGCTGTATGTGCTTTCACATTTTCTGTCAGCAGGATCAAGAAGCAAATCAGACTGGCCGTGACCAAGAAGCCTCTACAATGTAAGCGTAATTTCTTCAGTTCCAATGTTTACATGGAATTGAAATAGCCAGATTTGATCATGTGATTTGTTGTTATGAGATGAACTTGCCATTCTTGTGATGAATAAGGTATTGTTTCCACTTGCAGGTCCCAGAAGAAGAAAGCTAAGACAGGCAAGGCACAGTCAGCTGATAAGCAATCGAAGATGGATATATCTCCACAGATGCTTTCGCCAATTCCACGTTATGTTGAAAAGGATGATGAGGTTATACATGAAAAGTTTGCTACCACATTCAATTTCAGCAACCAATGCTCTTTTGTTGAACTCTTTCCACTTATTGTCCTCAGGCTCCCCAAGTATCACCTAGGTGTGCAGAACAACTTCTCTGTAGCTGTCCTAGTCAGGTCAAAAAGTATCTGACTGAAGCAGTAAAATCGTCGAGCGTCTCTATAGATAAGCAAAATAATGTAGTGGATTCAGTATGTGAAGGGGGATTCAATGCTTTGGAGCAGGAAGAAGTTGTTTCTCATAAAAAGGAAGTAAGCGTTCTCACCTGTGTCTCGTATACGGATAAATTATGCTTCTTTCTCCCCTAAACCAGCATTGAAAACATACTGAAACTGGTCGCTATGTCTTTCTCCTCTTTGTTGGAACTCGATTGTTAATTGTCATGCTATTCTCCAATCCGCAGGATAAGCAGAAAGCTGCAAAAGTTTCTACCCCTGAGCAAACTTGTGTCTCTAAGAGGAGACTGAACCTGTCACTTCCTCATGAAGGAGACCCTGCTGAAACTGAGACTCCGACACACAAGCGAGCTCGACTTTATGAAGTTCATGTTGAGATTGAGAAGACAGCTGCGGAAGGGGAACCCTCTTGCCGCACTCACAAATCCCGTCTTGAGCCTGGAGACCCTCAAGCTTGCTACGTCACACATCAGTTGGCTAAGGTGAAACAGAGCCTCATAGACACTATAACCAGTGTAAGACAGTTTGGCTCTGAGCTTGAGACGAAGGAACAGAGCATTGTAGACACTTTGACCAGTGTAAGACAGTTTCGCTCTGAGCTGGAGACCAAGGAACAGAGCATTGTAGACACTTTAGCCAGTGTACGACAGTTCCAGGCTGAGATTAAGAAAAAGGAAGATAATCTGAAAGCTTCGCTGCAGGAAGTTGACGTGTTAGGTATACGATCTAGATACTGATGAACATTTGTCTTTTTTGTTTTTTTGTTTTGCTGTTTATTTTGGTTTTAGGTATTTGATAATGTGATGTTGGAACAAACAGGGGGGAAGATATCCGGAATCAACTCATAATCAAGTTTAGAGTGAAAATGAAGATCAAGAAATGAATCAGCGACTTTTACAAACTTTTTTGTATCCTGAACTTGTTCAACGATGGAGTTAAGTAGTTGAAAAGAGAGAAATCTTATTTGTACAGCATTATCTCAGTCAAGTCTAGAGACAGTTGATTTTTGAATTCTCTAAAATATGCCATGAACCAATCGATGTTTCATGCATCTGTCTACCAAAATGAATAAGCCCCGAAGTAGCTATAATTGCTAATAAAAGCAAAACTTTTAACTCGGAATACAATGCATTACAATGTTAATAGTTTCTCAGCAATATACAACCGAGCTATGCAATTATAAAACTTTCTGAACCACTGAACCAACAGAAAGCACGAAGAAAGTAGGCAACTATGCAGTGGAAAAGGAGAAGAGGAAACATTCTTGCCAACATGAATCTGATAAGCTTGACGTTTGGGCACAACCTATTAAAATAACAGATCATCTTTATGTTATTCCCACTTATCAAAATTAATTTAATTCGACTCATACATAAAAGTTACTAAAATGTGTTGTGAAACAGTATACGAATGATTTTCGTGTAATGAATTATGATCATCATCATCACTGAACCAAACATATTGTATATATTTTTATCTTTTTAAAGTTACTATTTTATAGTTGATTCTGAAAATACCAAAAAAAAACTAAAAAATCACAAGATTATTAGTTTAGTCTGAGAATATCCAAATAAATTAAAATTTTTAAATACATTGAGGTAAATGAACAAAGAGACAAAACTCAATTTCATTGATCAATTAAAAACTGAATTCAATAAAAAATCTAAACAGCTTATTTTATAACAATAGAGAAACCCTAAAACAAAAGAAAATTATCTAAATAATTTAATCAATAATTACAATATTTAGAATATATCTCTGCATCGGAAACCTCCAATCTCAGGAGATATGCAAAAAAAAAACTGATCAATGTACACATTTTGGACAGCTTTCTTCTCTCCTAAAACCTAAAAAATTGGTGAAAAATATTCGTACTAAATGTTTTCGTATAAATTTTTGTAGGAATATGGTATATTTTCTTGTAGTAGCTACTAGAACGATTTTGAAGAAATTTCATATTAAGACTGTTCAGTTGTTAATAATCTCCAATACTGCATATTATTATCATTTTATTCTTATTAACTTGACACATTTCTCAAGCAATAACTATTTGTAAGATTTTATGAAACAAAGATTGCAAATGCTGGTTTCAGACACGATAATGCTTTTGCTACTATAATCTAAAGATGCTTTCAAGTTGCTAAAAAATGCTTATTTTAATGAGTAAAATGTCTCACTATTATGATAGGGTCCGAAAAATCATAGGTTATCAAAAAGTATCTTGTCGCTGTTGGTAGTTTCTTACTTTGGGAAACTGAGATAACAACTCAAATTCCATCGTTCTCTCATAGGATCGACTACAGAAAAGGAAGTTTGAAATATATATTCAAGCTTCAACTAATTTGAATTTATGTTCAACTAATTTTATATGTTGATATAAAACTTTCACGCTGGTAACTTTGATATTAGACTACATCAATATTGTATATTCTTATAATATAGTGGTTTTTCTTGTCAACATTTTGGTTTTGGTTTCTGAATTTATATTAAACTTGTATTTTTTTATTTTTTTTTAAGTTAAACACCTAGTTTAAATAGAAATAAAATGTCTTCAAAAAGTTTGAAAGTAATAAAAGAAGAAGAAGAACCAATTTGTAATGATTACATGATGAAACAGCCGAACTCACTGTAATTGCTGACCACTATTTGCATAGCAACTAACTAAAATACTAATTAAATTTATTTTTCTCAGGTATCTAATATTACAAAAAGGATTGGTTTGAGGAATTCCAGCAAAAAAAAAGTGCTCTTATGTTTTAATAAAAGTTAAAAACAAAAAAGAAGAAGAAGAAGAAGAAGAGAGTTCTCTAAAGTTGAAAGCTAATTATGAGCTATATCTTGTAGCTCAAATTATAAATTCATATCCAAAATAAAGGTTAGAGATTTAACAACACCGAGAATGATTAAAGATAAGGCCCATGACTCATAAGACTTTCTTATAAATAAATATATATGAATCATTTCCTCACTTACATGGGGATGAACGTATCGACCGACCAGGGCCACAACCAATAGTGCCTTTTATTTTTCTTATGACTATTAGTGTCTTACTGCTCACTAAACATTGAATTATATATTCCAAGATCTAAATTATGTACACATAATATGTTTTTCAAGGGCCAAAAAATGATTGAAATGATGGTTGGACCATAGAACTCTTACATATATATATATATATATATATATCACTCTAGAATCTACCTCTTGTTCATTGAACAAAGAACAAAACATTAGCTTGGAAATTCTAAACATTTAAAACCAACAATTCTACTCGTTGGATTTAACATGAAAAGGAAAAGAGTCAAGTTTTTTTTCAATAAAACTTTACCCGACTATAATTTATAATTTTTTTTGATTAATATGACCGAATTAAACTTTCAGAAAATTTCTGATTAGACATCCATATTTCATGTAGTCATATGTCTCCAATGCAAATCTTTGGCTCTATGTTCAATGCCTCCTTTGGGTAACTTTCTCTTCAATATGTTGCTACAATATACCTATCTGCATTTCACTCAATTCATTTCATTCTGACAGGTTTCTTCCTCCTATCCTTATTAATGTTTTTATCGAAAGACACTGAAAGTTTTTTTTTTTGGGAAAATTGGAAATTTAAGACACAAAATGGAAGAACTTGTCTCTTTAATACTTTTTTAAATTTTGGCAATTTTGGATAAAATAACTTTATAAATACTTTTAATTTCGAAAATAAATATTTATATATAGTTATTAATTCCGAAAATTCCAAAAAAGTAAAGAATATTATTCTAAAACATTATTTTAGGAAATACATATATTTATAAATATGTTCTAGAAAACGTGTTATATAATTCTAGTGTTTTATAGAATTCGTTTTCTACTATTTGGTATAAGATCAACCAAGTCTAGAATTCGGTTTCTACTATTTGGTATATGATCAACCGAGTCTAGAATCGATGTTCTACTATTTGGTATGTTTTCTAGATCTCTCTATAGAATACTTTATCTAGAACTTGTACTACATTCTACATATTGTAGAATATGTATTCTAGAATTTGTTATATATTCTATGTTTTCTAGAATTTAACTTCTACTGGTTTGTCTTCGTTCTAGTGAATATAGAATCCATATTCTACCAAACGGTTAACAGAATCACAGAAAATCTAGGATCAGGTTGTATCCAACAAAAATAAAATATTTGAAAATATTTTATTTTCCTTTTTTTGTTTCACGTTTTTAACATATTTGAGAAGTTTTTTTTCTGTTCTTCTTCTCTTTCACGACAATTTAACGATTTCATTGAAGTTCTTCTATGATTTCTGTTCTTCTTTGATTTATGTTCTGGTTATTTATATAGTTCAGACTGTATACAAAGTTACCCAAAATCAATTTGGGATTTTAAACCCTAACATATATAGATTGAACGAAAGGGATATTGAATACATTGAAGAGGTTACCAATTGGATGAGAAGATTGATGAAAATTGAGGATGGACTCTGGAGAATCGACTTGAGAAAGAGCGGAGAAAACGATGGACATGTTCGGCAAAGATGATGATATCTTTTTTGGGCTCGTAATTGTATTGTTTTTTTTTAATTTCTATTTTTAATTAATATTAATTAAAACAATATATTAATATGAAAAAATTTAGTTTTTAGGGGCAAAAGAGGATTACAATTAACATAAGTATTAGAGAGACAATTTTTTCTAAAAAAGTACTAAAGGAACAAGTTCTTCTATTTTGTGTCTTAAATTTCCAATTTTTCCTTTTTTTTTTTGATAAACTCTATCGGCTGGTCAACTCCGATAAAAACGCATCAAAGTGTTACAGAATGATTCCACATGTAATTAATGGTTCAACAAACATCATGAACTCAGAGAAATTTGCTCAAGTTATCATTGCAGGAAGATCCAAGCTTGAAGAAGGCTCGTGAACATGTATTAGGCCTAATGCATTGCAGTGAATCATAGTGACATGAATATTATTTCTATAACACTTCGTAAGTTATTAATGAAATTTAACGGTGTACCTACGTGCAATTCTTCAGAACAAGCGTTAAGTTCTACTTGTACATGCTCGTTAGTTTTTTTTTTTTGTTCAGTTGTCAAAATATGTCTAGCACACATTCAACGTTCAACTAGGGTCGATTAAAAGGTATCATAATTTTCTTTTATTGTTACCGTGACTTCAACTATGAAAGTAGAAGTGTCCTACGGTTTTATATGAAACAGTTACATATCATATGGTCTCATAATGTTGTGTTACTTATGTAGGGTCTGAACAAAGTGGCGCCGCGCCAACTAATAACCATTTAATTAACTGAAAGCAAAAAAAAGAAAAATTAATTCCCAAACATGCTTTAATTAAGCAAGACTCTTAACAGAAATAAGCACCCTCCGCTTCAGTCAGAAACCTCTTATTGTTCTATCAATCTCTTAGGTTTATTCAGAGATTTGATTCATTGAAAATTAAACAAAGGAGATGATATGGGAAACAACAACGCAACCGCCAATTTAACAGGTTATACAACAAAGCCTCTTTTTTTTTATAGTTAAAATCTCACTGAATATTCTGTGTAATTGCAGAAGAAGAGAGCTCAAAGCTAGAAACCCATGGAACGTCTCCAATGGAGTCTGTTCCCGTAGAGAACACGCAAGATCAGGTGTTTCTTGCAGGTGAAGGCAAAGATGGAGATAAAGAGAAAGAGAGCTTTACTGATGGTTTTACAGATTTTTCTTCATAATGGTTTCACTTATATCCATTTATGTAAAACTTTTTAGCTCACTTTTGAATCTTTTTTGTAGGAAACATATGTAAAGAGACTCCAGAAACAGAACCACAAAGCAAGGAGTTAGTCGAAGATCCAAAAGTGAAAAATGTCGAAGAAGAGATGCATCCAAGTGGCTTGGAGAGTTCAGTAATGGAAATCGATGAGCAGATCCAGAAACAGATATTAGTTGCAGAAGGTTGAATTTAGTTTTATCTTTCTCTTCTCTTTATTTTCGAAAAAACCTTTATGCCTCTGTATTTTTCTTAAATACTGTCTCTGTTCATCATCAGGTGTTGAAACTGCGTGTGAAGCGACAGAAGTGGAAGATTTATCTATGATTGGAACTCAAAGTGTTGTGAACGAATTGAATACGACAGAGTTTGGTAATGAAGAGAAGCCCTGTGTGATTGATGAGACTGTAGGAACAGAGGCAAAGATGATCAATAAGTCTCTGGAAGAAATTGTTCCTGCCGAGGAAGCTGTAAAGCTTGATCAAGAGATTGGTATGGAACAGAGAACAGGGTTTCCTGGGATTGATCCGCAGGAGATTCTGAATCTGGACTATCGCGTTCTTGATGATGATGATGAAGTTACAAATGAAGGAAAAGCCGACCAGGAAATCTCTAAACCGGGTTCACAAGAATCAAACGTGATTCTAGAGACCGGTTTTGAAGTTTTTGAGGAAGAGAAGGGCAAGGAGTTAGGAAGAGAAGCAAGTCTAAAACGCATGACTCGATGCAGATCGCTCCCAGTGAGCCACAACACTAGAGTTACAGAAGAGTCGGTGGTTCAGCAGTTGGTCTCAGAGATTGCGTTTCCTTCAAGGAACAAGATGGGTTTAGAGAAAGGTAACATGCCTGAGACTCTGCTTGTTTCTTGCGTAGGAAGCAACAAAGCACAAGAAACTACTGAAGCGATAACTGAAAGTAACAAAGATGCTATAATTGAGTTGCAGCGATCTCCTACCTTTGGCAGTGACCTAAGGATCAAAGAAAGAAACGACGAATCGACAGAAAAAATTCCGTTACTCTGTGAGGACATGACGGAGACATACGAGGCAATAATTGATGTGGAAGAGAGAACTGTGATGCTGAAGAGAAGTGAGACTGAAAAAACAAGAGGCATTGAATTGTCTCTAGGGTTATCAATGAAACCCAGTAGGAGTTCTGAAGCAGATGATAGCTTCAAAGAAACCAAGGGCTCAGGAGATAGCTTTGTGGACAAGAAGGCTACTACGTATGATACTCTGGTTGTTTCTTGTGTAGGAAGCAACATACCGCAAGAAACTGCTGAAGCAATAACTGAAGGCAACAAGGAAGCTAGATTTGAGATGCGATCTCCGAGTTTAAGAATCGAGGAAAGGAGCGATCAGTCGGTGGAGAAAACTCTGTTACTCTGTCAAGACAAGACAGAGACAAATGAAGCAACAGTCGATGTGGATAAGAAAAATGTGATGCTGAAGAGAAGTGTTTCTGAGAAATCAAGAGGCTTTGAGCTGTCTCTAGGGTTGTCGATGAAACCCAGTGAGAGTTCTGAAGCAGAAGGTAGCTTCAAGGAAACTAAGGATTCAGGAGACAACTTGCTGGACAAGAAAGCTTCTTGGGGTTCTATGAAAGGCAGAGTCAGGAAACGGAGCAAGTCTTCGCTCTTCGGAACATGCCTCTGTTGCGCCACTGCCATAAGTTGAACAAAATTGCAAGTAAAAGGATTATTGATTTTGTGATTTAATGGTTTTTTTATAATAATTATTATTGGAAATGGATAGTGTGGATTGGGTTTTCTGTATACTTGAGATGGGTTTTCTGTTTGAGGGTTTTGGTAAGGTTTGAAAAAGTTTCTACTTCCTTTAAATTTTGCTTATAATTGTTTCCATACTAAATAAAATCTGGGAATTTTTTGTGTTTCATTAATGAAGGAAATTTTTTAAGCAATGTGACAGCTTGTGAAACATATTCAAAGACTGAGAGAAGGAAAAAACTACAAATTATGTTTCAAAGATGATATAAACAAAGTTATAGAGATTAAACTGGATCTGAAAGGTTCAATAAGAGATAAAACAAAACTGGATCTTAAAGCTTTAATGAATTTAGAATACTTGAATTTGTTGAGATGTTGTGAACACAAAGGAGTAAAAACGAACAAAGTAATTAAGGAAAAATTTGCTTTTATAAGTCCATAGAATAATAATAAGAAGAAGAAGCAAAAAAAAAAAGTACTCAGCCAATGTTGATCATCATCTTGACAAATTCATCATAATTGACTTGGCCATCACCATCCAAATCTGCCTCCTTTATCATTTGTTCAACTTCTTCATCCGTTAGCTTTTCCCCTAGATTAATCATTACATGACTTAACTGCAATTTAACAAAGCTTTTGACATTAGTGAATAAACCATGCCATTTCGTTTATTTTATTCTTACAAATTAGAGCATTTTAATTTTTTGTATCTAGATTCTATTCCAAAAACAAAAATAAATAACTAGCATCCATATACAAGATTTAGATGCAAAAACCAAATCTAAAAGCGAACAATATTTTGATGCAGCATCTAAATCTTGTATATCGAATAGGTTTTTAGTCTAATGTGAAGGCATTTCATCGTGTCCAAAAGCTTTTATTAAAAACTAAAGAAAAATAACTGTTTGTTTCTCGTAAATTTTTCTCCTGAAATTAGACCGGTTAGGACTTATAGAGACCAACACTTTTTCTTTTTAAAATTAGTAGTAGGTCAAACATGATATTTTTAAAATACATTCTGAAAACTGTTTTAATAAGAATTCTACAGTTTTTGTCTTAGTTTGACCATGAGTCATGAGATTTAAAGAAACGTGAAATCTGATCAGTCCAGCCTACAATACTATTCTCTTATTAGGTTTAATTGAATGTATCTTAAACAACAAGTATATAGTACTCGAAAAATATAACAAAGAACAGGAACTCGAGCTTATACATTGTGAGTTATTCTTTTAGACCAATGTGTTTGAGAAAATAATGCATGAGTAATCATGTCACATGCACAATTAGAAAGCCTCTGTTTAATTAGAATGCTTTTTAAATTGAGAAAAAATCTCATCAATATATTGTTATAGATAATGGATGTGTGCATGCAAAAATGTGCATATAAAAAAGAAACTTTTTAAAAAGTATACGCATTAATGTAACTTTTGAAGTTGTAAAGATAAGTAAATATATTTATTAATTAAACTAGGTGAAACATGTGCCTCCTCTCCAATAACTCAATAGAATCATATGCATTTTACTCTAGCTAGATATTTCCCATTATATTTTGTTTTTCCCCTCCTCGTTCTTCTCCAAAGATTCACAATGCCAGCTTGTTCTAAACCATTCTTGTTATATTTTATCCAGAAAAATGTTTAGAAACATAAATGAGACAAGTATGGATCTCTTTAAATGAAAGAGATTGTCTGGCCTTGTCTGATTTTTGTCATTGATCCAAGATATTTCAAAGTGCGTTTTAGCTGGATTTATCATTTATCTAGTTAATGAAAATTAATTGATCAAGTGGTCCAATTAAAAAGAAAACTCATAATGATGATGCTTAGCCTGGATTTGACAATGTAGAGATATAGAGCATGTACCATACCACTTAAGCAGAGAAAACATTTATGCAACTGGTTCATGTATCGTTATTAAATTCTAACAAAACCCAATAGAGATAAGAATTTAGTAGACATTTATAATCTATATAATTATGGCTCTAATCATTTAAAATCAAATAAAAACACAGTTAGCTAGACCGTACATGCTATTATTAAAGAACGTTGTACAAAACGCAATCCAGTGCATCGAATTTATAAAAAAAAATCTCTAAAGAAGTCAAGCATATATCTAAAAATAAACACACTTACAAATAAGAGAAATATATTGATATATATATATATTATATATATATATGTGTGTGTGTACGGCTTCAATTTAATAAAAATTATATAATAGAGAGAAAATTTTAGTCACGGACCTCACTGGCAGAGATATAACCATTTTGGTCTTTATCAAAGACTTTGAATGCTTCTTTCAGCTCTTCTTCTACATCATTTTCCTATACCATCACATTACAAATCAGATTTGGTCGTAGTAAACAAGTAAAAAGTATATAAAGATGAAACAACAAACTTTTAACCAAAAAAAAAAGATGAAACAACTTGCTATAATAATAGCATTTAATGTTTCCAATTTGTTTTTTAAAAAATTGTAAAAGTAGAAAAGAAAAGTATAAGGAATGAGACAGAGTTTACAACGAAGCAGAAACATTATAGAGAAAAAGTCTTTCACTTGGTGTAACTAATTGTGTAAATAATGTATGGAGAGAACAAGAGAGAGGAACCTGGAGCTTCTTGGCCATGAGGTTGAGAAACTCAGCAAATTCAATGGTGCCATTACCATCAGAGTCAATCTCAGTGATGATATCTTGAAGTTCTTGTTCTGTCGGATTCTGATCCAAAGAGCGGATCACTGTTGCAAGTTCGTCCACAGTTATACAACCTATTATTGGATTTTGAAAAGAAGAAAAATGTCACAACACATATCACACATATTAAGATAAAAAATATGTCACAACAAATATCCCTCTATTTATATTTATATATGATCATATATCTAGAGAAAGAGAGAAACCGTCGCCGTCTTTGTCGAAGAGACAAAAGGCTTCTTTAAACTCAATGATCTGATCTTTTGTCAGTGCTGTCTCTTCCATTGTTTTCTGGGAATTTTGGCGAAAGAGAGAAGAGAGAACTCAAGGTTGCTTGATGAATCTCTGATTTGTGGTCTATTTGTAGCGTCTTGACAAGAACTTTCTACTTGGACTCATGTACTTTTTCAACTACAATAAGCCCTTTATTTAATTCTTAAATTATTTAAGTATTATTTATTTATTTTTGTATTTTAGAACTCTTGAACTGAAAAAATTAATTCTAGTCACATGACACAATCGCATATCATAATTGTTGCTGTTCTCGAGTTAACATTTAAATCATATATGCAATAGTAATGATCAGTAGTCGAAAAAAACAATTGCATTTTTCTAAAAGTCGATCGTTTAAGTGTATAAAAATGCCCGTCTAGACGGCTAAAACCTTTTGATGCTTCGATCAAATCGGTTAGAAGGCAATCAACCAAACAAAAAAAAACTACTTTTTGTAGATATTAGATTAGTGTAGCAAATTTTAGATCATCTGTTATAACTTCGTTGGGATTAGGTTTCTCTTCCTTAGTTGAATGTAATGACTTTAGCTGTGGATAGAGATTTTAGGAATACAAGAGAGGCTTAGAAAACAAAAAACAAAAACAGAGCAAACAAAAAAAGATGTGTGATATCATTTTGGAGGCAAAGTCACAATAATCATTGACTTAGTTGATGTATTTAGTGCATGAAATATCAAATTAAATGGACTTTCAACTCAAAATCAATTGCCAATGAGTAGATTAGTTTATGTCCCTTATATAGTAGTTAGTATCTTCCAACTTTGGGATAATATTCCCTAATACATTCCCTCGAAATGATGGTTCTTTAGTCATTAATCTTGGTATGTTTGGGCATAGATTGATGGGACCAACTTTGGCTTAGATCGATAATTGATCGGGTTGGATAGCGTGGATCAATTAGCAATGAATGGATTGACCAATGTTTCTTATATATTAATATATACTCCCTCCGTTTCACAAAGAGTGTCGTTTTAAGGTTTTATTTTTGTTTCACAAAGAGTGGCGTTTTATATTTTCAATGCAGAATTTTAAACAATATTCCAGTTTTGACCCTATTGATTTAATGTATTAATTAGAGAAAAAATTATTTAATGCATTAATAAAAGGAAAAATAGTATTTTTAATAGTTTTTTAATAAGTGTGAAAAATGTCAGAATGACATTCTTTATAAAACGGAGGGAGTATTAGTCAGGGTCTCTTCCAACTTTTGATGTGAAATAATAATTTCTAATATGAAATGCACTGATTTCTGGAGCTAGGTGGTCAGAATTATTTTATCAATAAGAACTAAATGCACTCCTATAGCATCATAAATCAGGAATCGATCCATAAATGTCATATGATATACTATAGACTCAAGATGGGTAACAACTCACACATCAAAAGAGCCAAATAAAGACAATAATAAAAAATATAAAAAAAAAAACCGGAAGACATGATTAATTGCATATTTGCATAAAGTAAAGAAGAGAAGATTAATCTTTTCTTTAAAGAATGAGAGATCTTCATCATCTTCAAAGATTCAGTAAAGTTAATACAAAAAGGGTTTACGAACAAAAGTAAGCTAGCTAACGTAGGTTCAAAGTAATGTGTTTAAAAGGCTAAAAATTATGTTAAATACAACTCAAACCGGGTCAAATAAGGCAAACATGGTCGGTTAGAAACTAGAAAGCTTGCTATTGGTATGGGAAATCTAACTACTGATGTTCCAATTTGGTTACCACTTACAACTGTTAGTTGAGGCCGATAAACGTGAGATGTATTTTAATATTTTGGATCACTAAATTGAAGTTTGAGGTAAAGAAAAAAAGCAACAAGAAGCAAAAATCCAAAAGCTATTGAATAATTGTAGTATACGTAGGTATGTGTATTATACAGGATTAGGATAAAAACATAAATGTTTGGTAGTGCCGACAAAGCTATAATGGTTGGAGACAAACAGCATTGAAAAGTTTAGACCAAGCCATACCATTACTCAAAGGTCAACAAACATCTAAAATGTAAATTAAAAAGTCTAAAAATTTACACATATATATATATATATATAAACAAAAATCTGATAAAAACATTATAAAAAGAAGAATTTGTTTTTATTTTATCATAAGCGAGTTTTTTGTGATTTATATGTTCATTTGATTCAAATCTATTTTAAAGATTAAAAAGCATCCATCATAAAAAGATTAAATCCACGAACTGATGTGATCATGGACATGGAGCAAGAATAAAAGATTGTAACTGAGGAACCATTACTGTGCCGACTGATCTTATGACTAGATCCAAGAGAAAGAGGCTAAGAGAAGATGTTGGAAAATTACTTATTCATCTATGAAACCAAAATGAAGCCGTAATTCAAGACTAGGACATTCACAACACTTTGGTTTTGATCCAAGCACAAGGAAACTAACTCTTGGTAATGTGATCTATTATATTCTTTTTTCTTTGGGTTGGTTTTGTCCCTATGAATTTTCCAACTAAGGTTTTTAACGAGGTAATGGCTCATATCCTTCAGTCCAATGTGTTAAGTTTCTCAAGTACATTTTGCCGATCAGAAGATGAAGTTCAAGAGTCATGCGCAAATGGACTTGAAGAGTCATTCAAACTTGTCATTTATTTTCTTTTTGTTTTCGTGTAGTCTGAGTCTTTATTTTCGATTCTTTATAAACAATGTAAGATTAACACTTTGATCATTCACATTTCTTTTATCAAACTTTATTTTCAAAGAAGTATTCTCTTTAGTTCTTTATGAACTTCTTTCTCTTGTTGGGTTACTTCAAGAAATCTTAAGTTAATCAGGTGATTCCATCTCACTTGACGCAACCATTCACTTGCGGAGATCTTTTGAAAATGTTCTAAGTTGAGTCTAGGGCATAAGGCATATACCTTATCATCTGGCTTCGCGAATTCAATTGATCACGTTCCACCGCCTTGTTCTTCTTTGGATAGTTTATAAGTCGAGTTTGGGGCTTAAAGTTTCATATGCTCTAACATTTAATCCGCGGGCCAACTAGATTCAAGGATTATTTTGTTACCATACCGATTCTAGGGAGAATCATATCACGAACCTTGAGAATTAGTATATTCAATGAAAGGCAGCGAGAAAAGTATAGATCCATTTATATATGCAAAACTCACAATTTTCCGTTATTTCGATCCATAATTTTCATCTGTCCCGAGCAGTGGCGGAGCTAGAAAAAAACTTTACGGGGGTTAATTTTAATTTATAATATATTATAAACAAATTTTACGGGGGTCATTTAACTAAATTATTAATATCATATCTAATTTTTACATTAAAAATACAAATATTTATAAAAAAAATTTGAATTTCACCTGGGTCAATTGCACCCCCTCCCAACATGCTCTCTCCGCCACTGGTCCCGAGTCAGCATTGGTAATAAATATTAATATTTCTTGTTAAGGCATAAACTAATTCTTTCAAGACTCAAATTCTAGAATAAGGACTCAACCTCCCACAAAAGAATCCTTTTTAGATAAATTTGATTAAAATGTTTTCCACGTCATAGATCATTATTAGTAAGAATATCTACTGCTAAAAGATCGTAATCAGAATATCTATTGCTAAGAAAGATTGAGCATAGACTTGCAATGAATCTGGTATTACAAGTTCCAACAATAGGGAAAATGCATGTATACTACTTTGTTAGCCATACATATAATTGACCCTATCGTCTTGCATAATAAGTTCATAAGCACGATAAAGGAAAGTATTAAAAAATAATGAGAGGTAGCAAACCAATGGACCAACAAAAATCTGTAACGATACGCTCTAGATCAATCGAATATAATTCAACTTCTGATGACTTGAATTTCAAATATCATTGAAACATAAAGTAGAGGAATTTTCCTTCATTTTTTGAACGGCATTTCATTAAATGGAATTAGGTGGCAAACAAAGGGACAGAAGCAAAGTTCGGACTACATAAACTAGTTGAACATAACAAAATAATGATGGATGAAACAAAAATGAAGAGTGAAGAAGCATTTAGATGTTGATTTAATTTGGAATCTAATTCATTCTGATATCATGTAGATGTTGTAAATAATCGTCGTCTAACTTTCCATTGAATCCGAGGATCTCCATCATGAGATGTTTAGGTTTTTCTTGATAGACGAAAATACATACAACTCAAATCAGAGAAAGCCAAATACATGAACTGGAACTGTATAAAGAAACAGTTAATGAAACATAAAAATGAAAATGGGAGAGGTTATGTGATATCGCATTTGTCTGACTTTCTCCTCTTAGCTGGGAGCTTTCTCAGTAACTTTCTGGGCAATCCAACCAAGCCCATCATGCAACCCTTCTCCAGTGACTGCACAGCTTGATTGAATGTGCCAATCATGGTTCTTGATGCTGTGAAGGTTAAGCGCGTCTGTGATCTCAGCTGGGCTCATAGCGTCTTTCAGGTCCTGTTTGTTTGCAAACACGAGTATCACCGAGTTCACAAGATCCTCATGGCCAAGTAATCTGAAAAGCTCGTCTTTCATGAAAGAGATCCGAGCTCTGTCTGTGCTATCGATAACCACGATTACAGCATTGGTTCCTCTATAGTACGTTGCCCATGATGTTCTTAGCCTATCTTGCCCACCAAGATCCCAAACCTAAAGACATAAATTGTGTAAGAAGCATTGCATCAAATATGAAAACAGTTCAAAACTTTTGAGCTTGTGATGACAGGAACAGAAACAGAGCATCGAATTCAACAAAGGAACACATAGAAACAGTCGAATTTACTTAAGCAATTCAAACTCCCATTTCTATGTCTTTAAAATGAAATCAAATCCGAAGACAAAAATTGTAAGAAGCAATGCAACAAATATGGAAAAAGTTCAAAACTTTGAGCTTGTGATGGCAAAAACAGAAACATGAGCAACCAATTCAACAAAGTAACACATAGAAACAGTCGAATGTGTTTAACAATTCAAACTTCCATTTCTATGTCCTTCAAAATGAAAGCAAACCTGAAGACAGTAATTGTAAGAAGCAATGCATCAACTAAAGTCTTGCAAAGCTTAAAACATTGGCTTATGGACAAGCAGCAAAGCAAGAACATAGAAATGCCCAATATTTACTTTTTCTTCAGATTAAATTTAACAATATACACAAAGGATAAGCAACTTCTTATCTGAAACCATACGAATTGTTCCAATATGATTAATTTTTAAACTTTGAGCTAGTAAAGCCTTCCCAATAGCATGCAATACAACAGAATAACACATAGAAACAGTCTGACTTTATGTAACAATTCAAACTTCCATTTTCATGTATTTAAAATGAAATTAAACCTGAAGACCAAAATTGTATGAAGCAATGTATCAACTTGAGTCTTGCAAAGCTTAAAACCTTAGCTCAGGAACATGTGACAATGCAAGAACATAAAAATGCCCAATGGTTTTTTTTCTCTTTCAATGTGAATAAGTTTAAAACTTAACGTAGATGGCAGAAACATAAACAGAGCCATCCAATTCAACAGAAGAATTCAAACTTTCATATCTAAGTCTAAAAGCAAATAAAGAATTTGTAAAAACCAGGATTTGATTTTCAAGAATAGCTTTGTGTTACCTCGAAGCGGATATTCTTGTAAACGAGCTCTTCGACATTGCTTCCTACGGTAGGATGAGTGGTGACAACTTCACCCAAGTGAAGCTTATAAAGCGTCGTCGTTTTACCGGCGTTATCCAAACCAACAACAACGATCTTATACTCTTTTGCAGGGAACATCATGAACCAAAACCTCGATGCAAATGCTCCCATGTCTCTGATTTTTCTATATAATAACAAAACCCAATCAAATTTTCGAATCTTTCTTAGAAAAAAAAAAAAAAAAAAAAACTGTTTCCGGTGACAATTGAAAAATTGATTCTTTGAAGAAAACCAAAAAGATACAGTTTTTATCTGACCCAAAGTGGAGGGAGCGAGAAGCGAATAATCCGTAGAATCCATAAAAATCCCAGATCGGATTTGGATAAAACGATCCTAGAATTGACTCTAATTTACCGAAATATGGAAACAGTATGGAAAGAAAAAAATCAATCGGGATCTGAGAATCAAACCTGGATTCAGTTTAAGGTGTACCGGTTGCGGTGGAAACGGCGGAGATGTCTTGTTTGATCGGAATCGGAAAAGGAGAAAAATCGAGTCTCGGAGAAGAAAACAAATTCAACTTTAGTTTCGGAGGTTGCTTATCGATCCGGGTGGCTCCGTGCGAAATAAGGAAAAAGAATGCGAGAATGCATAAAAGCATAAAAGTTATTAAGAAAAAAGAAATAAAAAAGAAATACTTTTTTTTGACGAGAAATACTTTTTTTTTTGACGAGAAATACTTTTTTTTAACAACTAAAGAATACTAATTTACTAAAGTACAAAATAGACCATCCAATAATTCCTTTTTGGGGGAAAATTGCAAAACAAAGTTAGAACATGTACATCAAAGAGATTCAAAAAGGAGTTGTTAATATTATTTTTTTTTTTTTTTAATTTGTCCAATAAATTTAACTGGATTGGAGAGAAGCATTTCTGTTTTTTTTAGCTGTAAACCAATACCAGTCCACCAGCTCAACTGGAGAGAGAATCCATTCTGTTCTTTTTAGTAGCAAGCCAATATCAGTCCATCACTTAGATTATAAAACTCCTCAAAATTCGATCCATAAATTCATTTTGCAAGGATCGATCCATAAAAATTGGGTTTTTTTTTAAAATCCAACTAATTGCTAACAAACTCCTTATGAAACCCTTTAAAAACTTCAATGGACATGGTCTAAGACATTTAGTCATTTAGTGTAGTTTCACCCAAAAAATGGGACAAAATTTGAATATGAATTAAATTCCAATATTTTTTTTTCTAACAATGTAAATGGAAGCCTAACCTATTCAATGAAATAATTATTGAAAGCAAATCTATTTTATCAAAGTAAACAAAAAATTCCTAAAAGCTAACGTTACATTTTAAATTGAATTTCGCTATTTTTTGGTGGTTTTAATTTACTTTGATGAAATAGATTTAATTTTTAGTAGATTTGTTCAACAGGTTGGATTAGTATAGTTTGGGTTTTAATTCACACTTTGATTTTCTCAGGGTTTTTAAGTGAAACTGCAACAAGCTAGTCTTTCTTCTTCTTTGCAATGTTTTTCCCCCTAGATTTTTTTTTTATTTGAGGAAAAACAACGTTGTCTTCCATAAACGGATAATTAAGTTGCACGACACTTTACTAAAACTTTGAATGTTTGACATCCTCCACATACTATTTTAAAGTTAGACAACTAAATATCGAGAGACTTTGTTGACATTTTCAACGTTTTAAAAGCGTCAGCACTTAGCACTATTGCAAAAAAAAAAAGCGTCAGCACTATGCCACTACAGAGAATTGATGTAATATCTTATATACTAACAAAGGTTGAAACTATAGGTTTCTCAAAGTGTTTACATAAGATTTAAAATTTTAATTCTATTGGTCCACATCAACATTCAAAAATAAGAAAGTTTACAAATTCTAATATTAGTGTTGAATACGAAAATTAAGAAAGTTTTCAAATTCTAATATTATTGCTAAATAAAGAAATTGTATATAATTTTTTTATTGGTCTACTTCAACATTGAAAATTAAAAATTTTACAAATTCTATTATTTTTTTGAAAAAAATATTAAAGATTAAAAATTATATATAATTTATATTAATAATAAAAAACTAAAATAAATAATATTAAAATAGGAAATTTTTAAATTTAAATTAGATGTATACACATATTTATAGACTCTTGCATTAGCATCCAATTTTTTGTCACATATAATATTTTGAAAAAAAAAATTTCTGTGTGTGCAACCATATAAAAAAAAATAGAGTTAAGTTTCACTAAAACTGAGTCATTACAGCATAAAAGAACCAACTTGACTAAACTATATGTTTAACTATTAGCTAAATTACAAAAAAAATATAATGAAAGGAGATATAAACAAAGTCACTACAATACGTTTTAATATTGAAAAAGAGACCGTAAAATCTCCAAAGCTTGGCCACCAAATTTGAGAAGAATGATAAATTTTAAACAATCCAAGAAACATATCAAGTGATTGATACTCGACACTTTTGGAAAATGAAGCACATAAAATAGAGAAAGAAGTTCTATTATTAAGACGAAGGAGATTGATGTATCCAAAGAAGATATTTGAAATAACATGGCATCTAATGGAGTTTTAACAACTTAACTTTAACAACAAAGGTAACAATTAACTGACCAAGCAACATCCGAATACATTTGGTAAGCCTCAAAACACGGAGGCTTCTAAATCCTATTACTAAGAAAAGTTAAAGCTATATGCCTCTAAGAATACCCACATAGAATTTAAAAGTTCAATTCTATTGGTCCACATCAATATTGAAATTTTTTTTTTTAAATTCTATTGTTAACAAAAAATTATATTTATAAAAAAATAAAAGTTGAAGCTATATGCATCTAATGACATTCACATAATATTTAAAAAAGTCAATTTTATTAGTCTACATCAATAACTAAAATTAAAAAAAAAATCTCAATTATAAAATTACTTTTTTAATACAAAACAATAGAAGAAAATTTGTTTTGCACACATATAATAACAGTTAAAGCTATATTATTTTAATATTAAAATAGTAAAATAGAAAAATCTTGAATTTAAATTAGATGTATGCACACATATTTAGAGGTCTTACATTAACAATCAAATTTTTGTCACATACTATAATAAATTTTAAGTTTTTTTTTCCTTTGTGTGCAACCATTTCAATTAAAAAAAAAAATATAGAGTTAGGTTTCACTAAAGAATGAGTTATTACAACGTAAAAGAACAAATTTGACTAAACTATTTGTTTAAATATTAGCTAAATTACAAAGAATATGATGAAAAGAGATATAAACAAAGCCACTACAAGCTGCTTTAATATTGAAAAGGAGACCATAAAATCTCTAAAAATTGACTATCGAATTTGAAAAGAATGATAATTTCCTAGCAATCCGAGAAACATGTCAAGTGATTGATACTCACTTTTAAAAAATGAAGCACTGAAAATAGAGTAAGAAGAACCGTCATTAAGTCGAAAGAGACCGAGGTATCCAAAGAAGATTTTTGGAATAACATGACATCTAAGGGGGTTTTAACAACCCAACCTGAACTACAAATGTAACAATTAGCTGACCAAGCAATATCCGAATACATTTGGTAAGTTTCAAAACAAGGAAGAGAGACCAAAATCACTTGTCGCAATTTTATTGGTCAACATCAATATTTAAAATTAAAAAAATTCTAAATTTCAAAATTATATTGTTAACAAAAACTATATTTATAGAAAAAATTTTAAAATAATATTGTTAACAAAATTTTCTATTATTAATAACAGTTAAAATTATATTATTTTCAAAGCATCCACATCAGTATTTAAAAATTCAATTTTATTCATATATATCAAAATTGTAAATTAAAAAAAAAGTTTCCTAATTCTAATATTATTGCTAAGAAAATAAATTAAAAACTAAAGAAATTTCTATTAACAAAAAAACAACATGAGATTAAAATCTTCGATATCACTGTTTAAGTTATAAATTTAATTTGTTATCTATAATAAAAATATATCCTACTTATCCCAGATTAAGTTACTTGATTTAAAGCTTTTCACGTAAAATTTTAAATAACTAATAACTATGATTTATATTCATCTAAATTTTTGTTACATATGCAAAACATATTTTCACATAGCCTCATGTAATATATTATGCGAAAATAATTGAAAAAATTATATTTCATATATTCGATTTGGAATTACAATAGATTAATAGAAATTCTTAGTTTTTAGTTTTTCAATTTGTTATTAATTATTCTATATTTATATGTATTAAATTGTATCGGTTTTGCCTACTTAATTATAATTAGAAAAAGTAAGAATGAATATAATGAAACTGAATATAATCATACAAAAATTATTAAAATATATAAATAAGATTGAAAAAAAAAATATAGAACAAGAATAAAAATGAACATGATGAAAAAAAAATGTCATTCTTATTAGAAGAGATGATGTTGTATAATCATTGAAAAATTATTTAAAATTTAACACAACCAATTGACAAAAATATATTTAAATCACATATTTTGTGTGATTTTATTCATATCATATTCAACTATCATTTTGGTTTTAAAACTAAAGCTGTTATTAATCTCAAAGTAAATATTTTATTTATTAGTTTTTTTAAATTAATAAATCAAAATAAAATTTTGTATTGGTTAAACAAGAGCAGAAAAAGATTAAATTTTAATTTTATTTTTTTAAATAACACATATATAATTGAAATAAAAGAGAAAATAATGAAAAAAAATTTCTTCTTAATTTAAAGAAATGAATGTATAATATTTTATCATCATGTCAATACTATGTTTAAAAAATAGCATTTGATTAATTTGTAAACATTTTAGGTAGTTTGAGTATATTAACTTATTAGTGTTTGATAAAATAACACATTTTTGAAATACGATAGATATAGATTTAAAACAAAACCATTAAAAGATCATAATTTACAGTAAAATTATTATATTAACATCATAATAGTTTTAATATATTACTAAAACACTAATAATATAAAATTTATATCATAAATAAATATAATTGATTGTATATAATTTTTATCAACAAAATACCTACGCATAGCGTGGACGCAAAATCTAGTATGATATTTACGTCTTCATCATAGATATCATTAGCCGGGTCGCCATAATTTTTTTAATTTCTTTTATAAGTTTTTCTTTTAACAAACGGATCCGAAGGTTTCTTAATTTAAAAAGACAACTTTCTTTTATTTGTCTAAAATAAATCCCCATGAACCATAGGCACAACATGCTCAATATAACAATTTAAACTAATCCCCCATGAACCATATGCACAAAAATTATTGAAACCCTTCAATTAAGATAAAAACAACGTAACAAACAACATCATGCATGTCACATAACAATTAACTGATTTCATAATCATTGTTCTGAAGAAAGAACGTAAAATAAAGAAACTTCATAGACAATACATCTTATTATATCATTAAAATCTATTTTGTAAATCTCTGACCACATTAGGATCCATCTGAAATGCCCTTGCGAGAACATTTGGGTCTATCCGTGGGTTAGACCCAAATACAGTGTTGGCAATCGTGATAACACCTGCGTTTTGGCTGCTCAAAGCAGCGATTGCAACCGCCGGAGTATGTCCTAGGTTGAATTGGAAATGGATGAGCCCTTCTGGAAACACAAACACATCACCCACTTTGAGCGTTTTGGCAAAAAGGCGGTTCCCGTCTTGGTTCGATGAGACAAACCCTACGAGCAAAGTTCCCTGTTGGACAACCAAGATCTCTGTGGCACGTGGGTGGGTGTGAGGTGGGTTCTGACCATTGGGTGCATAGTCTATACGAACTAATGAGATTCCAAAGGTGTTTAAGCCACCAAGGTTGTTAACGTTGACGGTTGTCACATTGGACCCTACAGCGTTATTTACATTTCCAGCTATGTTGAGTCCGGGGAAATAGAAATCATCCGCGGAAACTGTCATCGGATCCTTGCAGAACTTTCCATTCACAAACACTGAAAAAGGTTTTAGAATATAAAGTATAATTAGTAATGCAAAAAAAAATAGCATAAAATTATATTGAAAGAAGTCAAGAAATCATCATTTGCATACCGCCATTTGCCGGTGTGTTGACACCAACGCAGAAATCTTGAAGGGGGCTTGGATCAGAAGCAATGGCTAATGGAAGTGTCAAGGCCAAGAGATATAGAACTGCAAAATAGGTGAGACTCTTCATTGCCATGTGTATATGTATTGAGTTGATTCTTGGAAGAAAAGACGGATTATTGTTAATTTCTTGATTTTGGTTTCAATGAAGCTGTGAGAAACTTATGAGACAAAGAGTTCAATTTATAGATGATTTTGGGGTTTGAACAAGTCCATGCGTATGTATATGCTACATTCATTCCTTAATCAAAAGAAAACTACAACAGTGTTTCATTATCTATAAATTTGAAGTTGTAAAATTTATTGAACCGTGTTCCCTCAAAGTCGTATTATACGTTGGTATTATTAAAATTATTGTATCGCTACCATGTAGCTTTCATTCTCTAGAAGTTTGAAATGGTAAAATGTTGATTACACCGTGTTCTCTCAAATGGTATATATTATGTTGGGAGTTATGTAAATAATTGTATTGTTGTTATACTTATTACTTATTAGTAATATCTTAGATGCACGGTATAAAGAAAATCATATCTTTAATTGAAAATGTGATGCACTTGAAGTTTAAAATGTCAAGTGTTTGCAATGATAAAGCTATGGAGTATAAGTTACTACAAAGGTTCGTTTAGTAATAATCTTTTCTCAAGATCTCATGAATTATACGTGATGATTTTAATAATCTTTCAAATTGCCTGTCTTTTAATTAGAGTTGACTTTGAAAAATGTCAAATGTGAATTTGATGATTTTTGGTTTGATTGTTTCGTTAAGCGATAAGATAGGACCATGCATATATATAAACTTTGTATATAAATGTAAATTATTTTGTATCGGATCTTCTTGTATTCGATCTAATGCTCTTGTATCCTAATGTCTAACGACTTCGTTTTCAATGCACAAGACTTAAAGCTCCAAGAGCAAAACAAGAAGTAGTAGTTGATCTCGTCAACAACTTTCAATCAAGTACTGTGGTGATGGTTCTAGAATTCAAAGATTAGAAACACTTGAAACTTAAAGAAATAACTCTTCTTTATTGCTTAAGAAACTCACTCGAAAGTTAAGCTTCTCACACAACTCATAAGTGAGACCACAATCTGGTAACTTCTTATATAGTAGATGGAATAGATGACTCCTAATTCCAATAGAAACATGAATTTCCTTATTCTAGATAACTCCTAAATATGTTTAGATAACTCCTAAACATATTCTTTAATTCTAAAAGGAAATATCTAACTTGATCACCAAGTTAACTTCAAGCTTATCCAACAATCTCCCCTTTAAGCTTGAAGTCACCTTTCTTCAAAACTTGAACACCAATGAGATCTCTCATCTCTTTAAACTTGATCCTCCCTAAAGCTTTGGTTAAAATGTCAGCTCTTTTCTCATTGCTGGGAACATGTTCAACCTCAACTTGTCCATTCTCTACACACTCTCTTATAAAATGAAATCTTCTATGGATGTGCTTACTTCGGCCATGGAAGACAGGATTTTTGGTTAGTGCAATTGCTGATTGATTGTCGATTCTAATAACAACCTTCTCATTTGGTGAACCAGTAACTTCACTAAAAGTAAATCCTGCAACCATATTGCTTGCCTTGCTGCCTTTGTTCCTGCCATGAACTCAGCCTCACAAGATGATAGAGCCACAATTTTCTGCTTCTGAGAACACCAGCTGATTGGACTCTCTCCAAAATAAAAAATGTGTCTGGCTGTACTCTTCCCATCATCCGGATCAACATTGTGTGAACTGTCGCTATAACCAATTAATTTTGGTATCTCTGACCTTGAGCACCTGAACTCTAAACCCAGTTCAGTAGTTCCTTGTAGATACCGTAAACACTACAAGAAAAACATCATTTTACAACGGCCGAAATGGTCGTTATTTCGTCGTAATAGGGCCATTACGACGGACTACCGACGATTTCATAATCGTCGTAAAGTCAGCGTCGTAATAGACAAATCGTCGTAAAATCGTCGTATAATATACGACGGTTTTGTTTCGTCGTAACGTCGAGGCAATCAAAATCGTCGTAAATGCGTCGTACAGTTTACGACGAGTTTACATCGAATTGCGTCGACTTGATCTTCGCCTGGACCGTCGTTAAGTGGTCGTTAATGGTCGACGTAAGATCATCGTAAAATGTACGACGCATAAATCGTCATAAATCAATCGTAAAGTATTTCTTCATTTCGTCGTAAAATCGTCGTAACTCTCGGACGTATAATCGTCGTATTTGTCGTCGTACATTGTAGTCGTAAATTCCTCCGTTATCTTCGACCTACAAAATCAAAATGAAAAAATTAATTAGTATCAAAAAATAAGAGTTAATTATTTGAAAACAAAAAAATTAATAATTTTAATTTACTTACCATCATAAGCCGTCTTCCGGCAAAAGGAATCTGGCCGGAAGTGTGCGGGACGTTCTTCCGATTTCCCGCATCGTCAGTAGCGTTCATGAAAAATATTTTGATTAGAATCTATTATAAGAAAAAAAATAATGTAAATATTCTTGAAATTAACTACGACTTACCTAGATTCGGAACACTTGGCGGCCGTAGTCTGGTTGTGCGGATCCAACCAGTACTGGACAAGGCCCCGCCAGACGGTATTGGACATAGGCGCCGGCTTGGCCTTGTCGCCGTCAACCTCCCACTTCCCTTTCCAGTCGGAAACGGTGTTGTTGAGGCGGAATTTGACCTTCTCCTTGAAAGCCGTCTCCACACGTCCGTGTGCAGATGTTTCCCAATGCCAGTTTTGCTAGGAAAAAATAGAAGTTAGTAATTATTGTAAAAGTTAAAATTTAAAATTAAAATTAAACGAAATGGTAAATTACTTACCGCAAAACACTTGAACCAAGTGTCAAGTGTGGCCTGATCCAGCTTCTTCCAGCTGGTATGGGGTTGTACGAAAAACCCCTTGATGATATCCGCAACGTTACGACCGACTGCATTGTCGGTCGTAAACCTAGTCAAATGGAAAGAAAAAAAGTAAATTAGTATCAAATATATAAGAATAAATATTAATTAATTTAAAAATATTGTAGGAAAAAAATTACGTACCAATAGGTGCCGGGGGCTCGATCCGGGTCGAGTTTGTTCATGGTCCCACGACCGGGTTGCGCTAGAAGATCTTGTACCATAAACTGGGCATACGGTACAGGCGGGATCGGATCAGCCTCAGGCTCGGCCTGTGCCGGAGCCGCTGGTTCAGCTGGTGGTGGTGGAGGCGGTGCCGGCTGCGGAACAACGACCGGTTGGGAAACCGTCTGTTGTGTTCCCGAGGACTCCGGGATGGCTGATCCGGTCGCCGAGGTAGACGGGGCCGTACCGTCAGAATCGACGAGCTGTCGGTAGTGAAATCTCTTAGCCCGAGGAGCCATCGAGACAGAATCTACAAAATTTTAAAAAATTTGTTACTAATTTTCAAAAAACTTTTTATTAAAATTTACAAAATCCGGGCCTATCTAAATTCCGAAACCTAAATCTAAATTCTGAACCTAAATCTAAATTCCGAACTTAAATCTAAAATAATATGTAATGAAATTAATTTAAAAAAAATACTTACAAATTAATTGGCTGGAGAATAGGGAGAGAAGGAGAGAATTTTGTTTTTTAGAGAGATAGAGAGATTTCTAGAGAGAGAGAGGGAAGAGAGGAATGAGCGACGAATGAAGAAATCTCGCGTCCCTTATATAGATTTTGTGATCGTCGTAAAATCGTTGTAACTGTACGACGGTTTTACGACGATTAAACAAAAAACCGTCGTAAAAATCGTCGTAACGTCTAAACATTCATAACCTCGTACCTCGGATCAAGAGCCTATCCGGTGCAAACGTTACGACGGTTGTACGATGATTTTGGGTTTAATCGTCGTAAAACCGTCGTAAATTTACGATTATATTACGACGGTTTTACGATGTTTTTTAAAAAAGTGAGTAAACCCTAAATCTTATAAATGGGATATTGCATAAAGAACAATGCAAAGGTTATTGTATCCTAACATATAATAAAAGGTTTACAACTTTGCATGTATGATGGATTTATGACATGAGATAGTAAAAAATGAAATTCCGTAATCTAATATATAACCTTTCACTTAACATTTACGAAAACATGCATGAACTTGTAAATATGTATGTTTTTTTTCAAATTTTTGATTTTGATCAGATTGATAGCATTTCATATAAAATAAGATAACCAATCAAAAACAATTGTGAAATACCTTACAACCAATAAGATATAAAAGATTCAAATTCTTGGATTTCAACATTACGACGCTTTTACGACGAAATAGTGTACTCGTCGTAAAACCGTCGTAACTTTATGACGATATTACGATGGTTCGTCGTAATGTTGAAACCCTATTCATTCAGGGCTTAAAACCTAGACTTAGGGTTTAGGGTTTAGAAAAACCGTCGTAAAACCGTCGTAAAATCGAATTTTATGGTTTTTAAAAAATTCAAACAAACAAAGTTACAAATTACATAATAACAAACATTCACTAAATACAATGCATGAAACTCAGTCAGATTCATCTTTCTCTATTACTTCATCACCATCACCGTCTTCTTCCGCCAAATCGTCATCATCGGTTTCAGAAACTCATCATCACCTTCTTCTTCTGTATCATCGGGAAGATCTTCAAGTTGCCTGTTCCGAGGGTCTATTAAGAAAATATTCTCGTCAACATCTGGTTCAGACAGATCTACGCAAGTGTCCTGTTGAAGTGGAACATCCTCAACCCCTACAATCTTGCCCCTCGGAGCCACTTTAACTACAGCTAACCATGAAATTCATGTTGATCGAACTCGAGGGTATGGCAGAAACGTTACCTGTTCTGCTTGAGAAGCTAATATAAATGGCTCATGGAACCATGTTGGAAATTCATCCGGATCATTCGGGTCCACCTAATAAGAAAAAAATTCCGCTTTGATTTCTTGATTTCGATATATAGCAAATTAAAGTAGTACTCTTTTAATTAAAATTTTATACGTACTTGCCCTTTTAACCACTGAGCATAGTGTTGATCTTTACGATCATTGATTTCAGTTTCAGAAACCCCAGATATGCATTTTTTAACCTCATCAACAAATGTGCTGAGAAAAATAACAAATAGTTATTAATACTGACAACTCGATCATATAAAGATATTATTAATTA